CTGAACATAAAAGATTATATAAGCTTCAGAAAAATTCTAGTGGGGGGCCTCAATACCCCACCATTACAAAAGGACAGATCACCTAGCAAAAAAATCAGCACAGAAATATCAGAACCATGTCTTTGAACAAATGGACTTGAAAGTTATCTATAGAGTGTTTTTCCCAACAGCAGCAGAATACACTTTCTTCTAAAAAGCACACGGAACATTCTCCAAAATAGGCCACATACCAGCCCATAAAGCACGCTTAAATAAACACAAAGAATCAAAGCCAAGTGTGGTGGAGCACACTTGTAATTCCTGCTCTAGGGAAGCTGAGCCAGGAAGATTACTGTGAATTCAAGGCCAAAGTGGGCTACATAGTGAATTTAAGGCCAGCCAGGATTGCACAGCAAGACCTGGTCTCAAAAAAACAAAATCAAAAAGTAAAAATAAAAGTTATCCCATCTATATTATAAAATCATAATGCAATGAAACTAGAAACCAATGGCAAAATAAGCCACAGAATTATGCAAATGCATGGAAATTAAACAATGCACTCTTGAATAATCAAAGGACCACAGAAGAAATTAAACAATTCCTAGAATCCAACAATAATACCAAAACAGCACACCAGAACCTACCATGATGAAAGCAGCCCTAAGAAGAAAGTTTATAGCTATGAATGCCCTAACAGAAGAACAGGAAGTGCACAAACAAATGACCTAATTATGCACCTCAAGGTCCTAGAAAAATAAGAAAAATCCAAATCCAGAGCTAGTACAAGGAAGGAAATTAAAAGATCAGAGCAGAAATTAATGAAATGAATACTAGAAATCCAACATAAAGATCAATGAATCAAAGATCTTGTTCTTCAAAAGAATAAATAAAAGTCACACCCTTAGTCAATTTTACTGGGAAGGAAAGAAAGAAAGAAAGAAAGAAAGAAAGAAAGAAAGAAAGAAAGAAAGAAAGAAAGAAAGAAAGAAAGAAAGTTGGGTGTAGTGGCACATGCTTGTAATCCCAACACTTGGGAGGCTTGAGTTTGAGGCCAGCATGGACTACATAGTGAGACTGTATGAAAAAAAGGGTGGAAGGGGAGAGACCAAAATACATGCAACTAGAAATGAAAAAGATGAAATCAGAAAGGTTGCAACAGAAATACAGAAGATTATTAGTAACTACTTTGAAAACCTGTGTTCCAGTGAATTGCATAGATTCCTAGATACATACGAATTACCAACCTGAACCAAGAAGCTATAAAAACCCTGACTAGCCCAATAATAAGAAAGGAAACTGAACATTACTTTTAAAAACCTACTAAGCCTAAGGCCTGATGTATTCATCACTGAGTTCTACAAGAACTTCAGGAAAATGTAATGCCAATATTCCTCAAACTCTTTAATAAAATTGAAAGGGAAGCCAGGACTCCCAAAGTCATTCCTGGAAAGTAACATTACCTTGATTCCAAAATTAGACAAGAACTCAATCAAAAAACAAAACTACAGGCCAATCTCATTAATGAACATAGATATAAAAATCCTCAACAAGGTTCTGGCAAACAGTATGCAACAGGTAATCAATCATCACACATTATAATCAAGTAGGCTTCGGGGCTGGGGATTTAGCTCAGAGGCAAAAGCGCCTGCCTGGCAAGCGCAAGGTCGTGAGTTCGGTTCCCAGTACCGGAGAAAAACCAAAAAAAAAAAAGTAGGCTTCATACCAAGGATGGAAGGATGGTTCAGCACATGCAAATCAATAAATATAATGCACCAGATAGACAAGTAAGAACAGAAACCATATGACCACCTCAACTGATGCAGAAAAATCCAACATTCATTCATAATTTTTAAAAAGTTGAAGAAAATAGATATAGTAGGACCTTATCTCAATCTGATTTATGACAAATCTATGGCCAACATTACACTAAATGGGAAAAAGCTAGAAGTTTTCACCTGAAAATCAGGAACAAGACAAGAATGTCCAGTACCACCACTCTTGTTCAATACAGTACTTAAAACACTAGCCAAAACAATTAGGCAAGAGAAATAAATAAAAGGGATACTTATAGGAAAATAACTCAAGTTATCATTATTTGCAGATACATGATCCTTTACATAGAAGACCCCAAAAATTCCACCAAAGACTGCAAAGTCAGCAATATACAAGGCTGGTATCTTTCTCTAAAATCAGCAGGGTACAAAATCAACACACAAAAATCAATAGCATTGCTGTATAATAAACTACCCAAAAAACAAATTAGGTGTCAAAGACCAGGTGTGTAAGGGTTAAGCTACTGAACACAGTACTTCCTGGATGTATTGGAAATCTTCTATTCACAGCCTCTGAAGACAAGATAAAGCTGCAGCTGCAGGCTGCTGACACCCCCATTCCAGAGCAATAAAACTGTGAACCTTAAAGATCAAACAATAGTATTCCTCACAGATGTAGAAGTCATATGGAACCAGAATAGCAAAAACAATCCTGGGCAACAAGAACAAATCAGAGAGAAACACAATCCCAGATTTCAAGTTATATTACAAAACAACAATGATAAAAACAGCATGGTACTGGCACAAAAAAAGACACAGAGATCAATGGAACAGAATAGAGGCTGCAGAAACAACCTGCACATTCTGCTATTTGGCCTTTGACAAAGGGGCCAAAAGTTAACACTGGAAAGATAGCTTTTTTGAGCAAATGGTGCTAGGAAAAGTGGCTACACACATGTAGAAAATTCTATCTAGATGGATATCTCTCACTATGTACCAAAATAAAATCAAAATGGATCAAAGAGCTAAATATTAAAACAGGAACACTGAAGCTGCTGGAAGATAAAATAGGCAAAACTCTTGAAGGCACAGGTATAGGCAAAGACTTTTTGAAGAGAAACCCTATTACAAAAGCAATAGTATCAAGAATGAACAAAGAGAACCATATCAAATTAAAAGCTTTCTGCACAGCAAAAGAAACAACTATCAGAGTGAAGAGATGACCTACAGAGTGCGGGGAAAGTTTTTTATCAGCTACCTCTGGGACAGAGGACTAATATCTAGAATGCACAAAGAAATCAAAAAAGTTATAACCACCTCAAAATAAAAGTCTTAATTAAAAAATGGGCATCTGAAATGAATAGACATATTGCAGATGAAGAAGTACATATGGTCAATAAATATGTGAAATATTTAGCATTTCTAGCCATTAGAAAAATGCAAATTAAAACAACACTGAGATTCCATCTTACTCCAGAAAGAATGACCATCATCAAGAAATCAAATAATAACAAATGACAGAGAAGCTGCAGGGAAAAAGAAACCCTTCTACATTGCTGATAGGACTGTAAATTAGTACAGCTACTATGGAAAACTATACGGAGATTCTTCAAAAAATTAAAACTAGAAATTCAATTTGACCCAGCTATTCCCTTTCTAGGTATTTTCCCAAAAGAGTTAAAGACATCATATTACAGTGATACCCACACACCCATGTTTATAGCAGCACAACTCATAATAGTTAAATCTTGGAAGCAGCCTCTATGTCCATTAACAGATGAACAGATAAAGAAAGTGTGGCATTTATACACAATGGATACTTATACTACTCTGCTGTAAAGGGTAAATTTGAGTTATTTGTAGGAAAATGGATGTACCCTGAGACAGTAAAGTTAAGTAAAATGAATCAGATGCACAAGCTTAAATATCACATGGTTTGTCTTACATAAACAACCTAAAGTATGAGTTAATTAAAGAACAAAATAAAAAATAGATAGTAGAAAAAAAGGGACATAGAAGAAGACGTAGAGGTTGTGGAAGGAAAGGGGACATAAGAAGAATAAAGATGTGTCATGTACATGTACCAACTCCCCACGATGAATGTAATCATTATGTCCTACAAATGTGTACTAATAAAAATAAAAATTAAAAAATGCTCAGTGGTGGAGCCCTTGTCTAACATGCACAAGGCCCTGAGTTAGGTCTCCAGAACTACAGTTAATCAATCAATCAATCAACCAATGACATGGGTGGGCTTTCTTCATTCTGACTGGGAAACACTGGCCTCCTTCCCTGAGGCAAGGGTGGGGCAGGGAGGATGACCACTGCATGTCATCCAATCCATGGATCCGGGAGGGAAGGAGAAACAGGCTCAGGAAGGAACTGCAGGGCTGGGGGTGGCTCGGCAGTAGAGCCTATGCCTCATGTGCTGGGCCCGGAGTTTGTTTCCCAGCACAGCAAAACAAAAGCAAAAATACTTCGGAGATAAACAGAGATAGCGGTAATGGAAGGGTGACCAGCTTCTCAATTAATACACAAACCAATACTTTTTCATAGATAGTCAGAAAATATGAAGAAAGCTTCTAGGCTATAAGAAAAAGCAACCAAAAAGATTTAAAATACCACAAAACATAAAACAAAATGAAATAGCCTAGGACTGAGCCCCAGGGGACTGCGGACCTGAGGCAGCTGTGAACGCTGTCAGGACACAGATAAAGGCCCCCTCCCCTCCCTTCCTGCCCTCCCCTCCTTGGGCCCTGGTCCTCCAGGTTGGGTTCCTGGGGCGTGGCTCTAGCCCCAAGCCCCTCTAGCCCTGGCCAAATCTCTGTGGCCTTGAGACCGAGACCTCCACCCTTCCTCTAACCCCCAAACTCGTAAGCCTGGAGATTCCTCCCCAAAACACAGACCTCTCAAGAGCACTCCGGCCAGCCATTCTGCATGCACCTTGGTATAACCAGCCTCTTGCTTTCCTTCTTCCTGCCATAATTCCTCCGAAAACTTCCCTCAGTGCCCCTCCTGCACAGCCACCCTCCACCCCATGCACACTGTGGCTGGTGCAGGGTCAGGTGGGTGCAGAGGAGGGAGCCCCTGCCCCCTCTTCCCAGGCTGTGGTCCTGAATTCAGCCCCGCTCCATGGGGGACACGGTCACTCTGCTCTGTGCTCTGCATGGATGGGAGAGCCTCCCGTGACACCACCCGCAGTCTCAGGCCCATCGTCCCTCCTGCAGACCCCCTGTAACAGCCCCTCACCTGGGAGCCGGAGAAGCAGCAGAGCCCAAGGCAGCCCCCGGCCGGGGGACATTCTGCCCACAGAGGTCACCTGCAGCTGCGCAGACTGGACCCCAGGCTACAGCTCTGCCGGGGGAGAGTCAGTGTCCAAAGCTCCCACTTCCGCTTTCTTTGGGTCTTGCTGTTTCCTTGTTCACCTTCTTTTATTTCTGTTCCTGGAGCTGGGGTGCGGGGGAGGAAGCTGAGGGAGCCAAGCTGCCGTGTTGGCTGAGACACCCCAGAAACTCCACAGGAATCCATCCTGTGTACCCCGGCTGAATGAGCAGGTCCTGTGACTTTCCTGCTGCGTGACTTCACTCCCCTGAAACCCACAGACCCCCTCACCCCACCCTCACAGCCGAGCACTAGTCAGGGTTTTCTTCTGCCAGGACGCAGTCACTCTTCCTGTGCCCTTGTGGTCAGGATGGCACCCTGCTGAGAGGGGCAAGAGATGCCCACATCCTGCCCCTGGGTAGTGCCCACCGTGAGGTCATCCTGGGTTGGCCCCTCCCATGAACCTCAGCCCTAGGCCTGGACCCCTGAGTTAGCACAATTGTTCCAGAGTCCCTGACTGGTTCCTGGTCTTGAACTGTGTCTTTGGTTTGACCAAGAGGTCCTCATGCTGTGACCTTCCTTCCTGCGTGACCCCCAGTGGACCTGAGCAAGGACTTGGGGAACCTGCAAGGACTCTTTTCTTCCCCTGTTCACCCAGACTCCACATGCACACTCACATACACGACCATGACGGGTGTCACCTAGCTTGCGTGGATTGCTATGTAACACAGGAAGCTCCAGTTGTAACATCACCAGACAGCTTGCAAAGCTGTGAGCAAAAGCTCTGAGCATCCACCCACAGGCACCCTGTGCCTCAGTGAGACCCCAGGAGTGGTCTTCCCTGCTGCTCCTGGGATTTTCACTTTCCTCCTTCGTCTTGGCCACAAGAGCACACCGCCCAGGAGACTCACTCTTCCGCTGCTAGAAAACTCAAGAACAGAACCTGGTAGACCTTGGGGAAGTTTCCATGACAGCAGGCACAGGAGCATACATCTGCGGCCTCAGCACTTGGGAGACAGAGGCAGGAAGATCATTTGAGCTCCCAAGTTCACGGGTAGCCTGGGCAACAGTGAGAGACCCTGTCTCATAAAACAGTTCTATGATCTGTATTATCATCATAGATTATCTAAAGCTCAATACAATCCAAGACGCTTTGGATACTGACCTTGTTGAACTGAGCACGAAGGTGGAGACTGTCATATCCAGTGACTGACGTGGCCTGATCATGGTGAAGTTCCCTGAAATGTGTACTTTTTTGATTCACCTACAATCCATGATGCTACAGCTTGATGCCAAAGCTTCACAGAGAAGCAGGAGGCCAGGTTCTCCTGCAGCTGGTGCACTTGCCACCGCATGACCTTGAGCAAAACCCATGGCTCTGTTAAAGGTCAATAACAGCAGCTCGTCAGTGGGAGTAAGTCTTGCAGTGATCATGAAAACTCTCAAATGCCATTAACATATCAGGACCGCGTCTCTCCAGGGGTTGACATCTCTAATGAGAGGCAGTGGGGCTATTGGATTTCATAGGAAGGAGGGTGCAGACCGTTCCTGTCATGGTGTCATGGTGTCCCGCCTTCTGGCTTGCCTGGGCTGCTCTGAGCAAAGAGGAATCACCTTGGGTCACATACAAAATACATAATGTAATATATATGAGTAACAGGACTTCCTTTATTTTTATATTTTAACTCAGTAAATTATTTTACAAGAAAACACATTTGTCTGCTTAATGATAATAAGCACCCATTTTTGCAGGCACACACACAGTAGGGAGATTGAAAGCATTATCTACAACTTCGGTGCTTGGCTTGCCAAGTTACACAGCACAGGGAATGTTCGTCTGATACACGTGGGTTTTGATTCCACTGTGTGGCAGGTGTAGGACGTGGAATTAGCACTGCACCGTACCCTCCCCTACACAGTGTTCCCTTGTCACCTACACAGTCTGTGTGTAAGTACAACTGAGTCATGAAAGATATTGCTAAAAATCACATAATCTTAAACTTAAATTATGTGCCTATAATCCAGCACTCAGGAGGCTGAGGCAGGAGGAGTGCAAATTTGAGACCAGCTTGGGCTAGAGAGCAAGACCTTATCTCAAAAACAAAACAACCACAAGACAAGAAAATCACAAAATGTGCAAAGTTTAAAGTCTTATGGGGCTGCATTTCCAGCTGTCCAAGTCTCCGTGCAGCCTTGGACACACCTGATCTGTAGGATGCGATTTTCCTTAGAAATAGGAAGAAACGTCAGAACGATTACAAAAAGGAAGAGGTCTGGGAGTCAATTCCTGCCGCACCCACCCACCCCCAACCTGACCACAAACCCAAAGAAAGACAAAAAAATAAAAAGCTGCTAAGCGACCATGTGACATCAGGGAATTAAGGAAGTGGCGCTTTCCCACAATGCTCTGAAGCCCATCCCTGGACTTGAGGTGGGGGCCGAAGATGAACCTGAGCCACGAGGCCGAGCCCCCTTGCCTGGGGTGGAGTGCCCTTGTGGTCAGGATGGCACCCTGCTGAGAGGGGCAAGAGATGCCCACATCCTGCCCCTGGGTAGTGCCCACCGTGAGGTCATCCTGGGTTGGCCCCTCCCATGAACTTCAGCCCTAGGCCTGGACCCCTGAGTTAGCACAGTTGTGCCAGAGTCCCTGACTGGTTCCTGGTCTTGAACTGTGTCTTCGGTTTGACCAAGAGGTCCTCATGCTGTGACCTTCCTTCCTGCGTGACCCCCAGTGGACCTGAGCAAGGACTTGGGGAACCTGCAAGGACTCTTTTTTTCCCCTGTTCGCCCAGACTCCACATGCACACTCACACACACGCCCATGCGGTGTGTCCCGCAGCTGCCTGACCCAGTTGGATCCTCTTCCCAGCGTGGACACCCATGCGAGAAGCCAGCACAAGAGGATTTGGTGGTCGTGGATGGGGCCATTGAGTCCTGTTGGGGATGAAGGCTGAGGTGGGTTAGGCAGGACCTTGGACCTATGGGTGCTTCTGCACTGAGGAGGCTCTGAGCGCTGGGAAGCAGGGCGCGCCTCGGTGTGATCGTGGCCCCGTGTAGCAAGAAGAGCTTCACAGCTGACTGAGCGGGTGAGGAAAGTGGAGTGGAACCGATCACCACCAAGCACCCCCTGTGGCCACATGCTTCTGCTGTGGCTAAACACACTCAACTGGGTTAATAACTCGAGACATCTGCAAGGCAAGTTGCCGGGGAAAGGCCAGCTAGGTGAGACCGGGAGGCTCTGGGTTTCCTTCCCAGCAGACGATGAGCTCGGCAGCCCTCTACTCTGGCCTCCCCATATCCCCGGCTGCTCATCTCTGGGGAATCAATCCCAGCCTGGGGGGTCCCGGAGGGCACCAGGCACCTTGAACCTGTGCTCCTCCCTCCCCAGGCCACAGTCCACACCAGCTGGCCACAATGGCCGTAATGTGTCTCCCCTGGAGCTGGGGTGCTACAGTCAGGATGAACAGAAAGAGGAAGGCGCGGGCTAGCAAATGGCTGGCGGTCACAGCCACAGGTTTTGACGTAGTCATGACATAGTCAGACAGCACCATAGGAACATAGGACAAATCAGCTCCTGGGCCCTTAACCTGTTGCTCATTAAAAGCATGACTGTGTTTTCTTCTGAGTCAGGGACTTAGCACAGTTTTACCCTAACTTTTCCCTTAGGCCTGACGGGTTATAATAGGTAACTACAAGTAAAACAAAGCTTAACCTTCATTTGGTACCCTTAGTCACTGCCTTAAAACTTAGACACAGGCATGTTAATCCTTCAAGAAAAGTTTACAGGCAAGGTGCACTAGCCCCAAATTTATCAAGCCTGTCTCATCCCCCTTCAAGCCTGAGAGCACAGGTCAAGCGGAGCGGAAGTCATTCTCAGGATGTGCAGGGGCATCCAGGTGCCAGCTTTCACATCCAGCTCCAGACTCCTTCCTGGAGCATAGCCTAGAACTCTCCAGCCACTGTCGAAAGGTGTGTGCACCTGGGCCCCAGGGAACGCAGAGCCTCACTTGACTGAGACTGCTGCAGACAAAGACAATCATTTCATGAAAACTAAGCCACCCCTCAAGCCACCCCCAAGCCACAAGGATTCCTCCAGGCCCGAGATAATGATCCACCAGACCCCAGCCCACACAGCACCCTGACTGGTTTTCATTCTGATTTTTTTTTTTCCTTTGGTACCGGGAGTCGAACTCAGGACCTTGCACTTGCCAGGCAGGCGCTTGTGCCGCTGAGCTGTATCCCCAGCCCTTGTTCTCCGTTCTTTTGTGAGCAGGCTGGTCTCAGACTCTTCAGACCTCTGCCCGCTTCACTTTCTCAAATTGAAGCCTTTTCCTGTGTTCTTTTACTTTCCTTTCTTAAAGCGACTGGCTTCGTCTTTGTCAGAGCTGTGCCTCTCCTTCATTTTTCTCTTATTTGCAAGGAAAACATTTGCCTATAATTCCCACTGCTGCTTTAGTTTTAATTTTCATTCTCACTAAAGCAAGGACCCACACCACCTGAGGACAGCCTGAAAACCCTTCTGTCCCCAAACTTCCCGCCCACAGGTTGTAGCTCCACCTAAGTCTTTCCCATCTCCCACTGGGCAGAGAGTAGCCAGCAAGTGGGCCCCATAGGCTGCGTGTGGCATGGAGCCAGGTGGGCTCGGGAAGGGGCCACTCACATGGGGCCCGCTCCTGGCTCCTCTGGAGAGAGGGCCCTGGAGCTTCCCCACGTCACAGCCACAGAGGTAACAGGATAGGGAAACCGGGATTAGGCCACAGGTATAGAGAAGCTTCTTGTTCTCTGGCCAGCTCTAGCACTGGGCAGAAGAAAGAGAGAACTGAAACCGTGCAGGCCTGTGAAAGCCCTCCCGCCTAGCACCTGAGCGTGGCATCCTTCATCTTCTCCGCTCTAGACCTCAGCAGAAAATAGGTTCAGGCAGACAGAGGTGCTCTGCACACATGTAGGAGGAGGTTATGGCTGCATCAAACTGCCGCTTTCTCCTCTCCCACACACCTGTCCTCAGGCCCCACAAGGATGCTAATACTCGGGAAGGCACGTCTCCCAGCCCATGTGTCTCTTCTGAGTCACAGGTAGCTGTCAGAGACCAGGGGTGGGAGCCAGGTGAGGGCTACCCACTCCGGATGGCCCCCTCCCTGCACTGACTATGAGCATGACAGCAGGGAAGGTCAGAGCCCTAAGCGGTAAGCACATCCTCGCTCATGGATTTCTTATCTGTGTGAGGGGAACACGCTCCTCCCGCTGCCCAACTCACACTGCCAGGAGACCTAGCAGGTCCGCGATGCGAGCGCAGCGTGCAGCGGGTAAGGTTGTCCTATTCTGCATGTGTTGGGCTCCCGACACACACTGGGGA